TACCGTTATAATAATTTAGACAAATATTAGAAAATAATATACTTGTATCGATTGCTGCATAACATTTTATATTAGAATAATTAATCTCCTACTGTATGTGAAAGTTAATTTCCAAATTTAATTATAACAGATTCTATCATGAAATAAAATTTTATTAATGATATATTTTTTAACTTTTATAATTAATTTTAATCACAATGTAAAGTAATATTTTTTACATTTATGTAGGTTTCATAAATTGTTCATTATTTTATAATGTTATAATATTAGTGATATTATTATATACGTATTTATCTTAACAGTTATTTATATGAATTTAGATAGCGTTCCGTAGAAATAATTATTTCAACAAAAACTATTTTAGAAATAAAGTAATTATAGTAAATTAATTCTGTTTGAATATATATACAAAATAGAATAAAATGGAAAAAATGTAAAAGTTAATATAATTTAACAATCATTTTCATTATTTAATTTGCAAAATAAATTATCTTGAGAGCATTTTTAAATTGAAAATGAAATTAACACCTACCAGTTTTAATTCAATAATTAAAAAGTATAAGAAATATTATTTGGTATCTTTATAAATATAAAAATAAAGAAGTACTATAAATATTTAAAAAGTTATTTATTTAAAAAAATTTTTTTATTAACTGAAGTTAATAAAATAAATAGTTTTATTAACTGTACTTTTTCTTTTAATTCAAACATTTTATTAGTTAAAAAATTTTAATATTCGTTTACTTTAAATATAAAATAAACATAGTTAAAATTATTGTAAAACAAAAAATAAGCAATGGTGTATATTAAAAACAATTTCTTTTAAATACATTTAACTAATTTTTACATTTAAGATAATTTTCTTTTTACAAAATTAACGAAACGTTTTATACATTTATTAATAATAGTCAATTACTTCGTAGTTTTTAGATTTATAACCTTACTTGTAGCCAACAATTATTTCTTATAATACGATTTTATAAAATTATGAAAAAATTTATGATAATATTACATATTTTAATAAATAATAATTAGAAGTAAATTATTTTATTATTTAATGCGTATATACGAAAAAGTCTATCTAAAATAAAAAAAAGGAATAAAAATATTTACTTATGATTTGTGTTAATTGTATTTTTCTGTCCGTCCAAAAATGTAGTATAATTATCGGAATCTAATAATATTTTTCTCTAAATACTATTTAACTACAATATAAAAAATGAATCATGATATTTTGACTTAAAATAATGACGTTAAAAGTATTAAAAAAGTTACATGCAATTTGGAAGTACTAATGACTTATATAGAAGAAAATACTGTAGATTAAGGGAAAAGTGAATAAATATAAGTCTATGATAATTATACAAGGTTCAGGAAATGAAAAAGACAAAGCTACTGAAAATTTTGTGACATGAATAAATTCTGGAGATCAGACAAAAATGAGCATAACCGTGATTGCTGACCCATTGTGAACTCTGAACCATTGTGCATTGATCATTTTTGTAGTATTCCTTCATCGTTAGATTTTTTGCCTATCATTGTATATATATTTGATTGCATATTTATTATTTATTTATGTAATAGTAGTTCCTTCAATTTAAAAATTTTTTCAAAACACGCATATATGAAATTTAATTATTTTAAATTAGCATGTCATTACGCAATTAAATAAAATTTTTGGCAATAATATAATATTTTTTGTAATTAGTGATCTTTATAAATATTTAAAATCGGACTTTAGAAAAAAATGATATCTTTAAAGAATCACCTTTTATTTCAATATAAATAAAAATATAACTAAAAAATTTAGTAAAAATTAGTTTCTTGCCTATATTTATATTTAATCAATTGTAATTATTAATTATGACTAAATTATTAATTTAAATTAATAAAATATTTTAATTACGCTTTTTATCACCTATAGTTGTAACGAAATTTTTATTAAAATCACTTAAAATATTGTTTTTTTCTTAAACCAATACTTTAATATTTATTTTCAAAATTATATATTAATTATAAATTTTATTACAATGATTTACTTATATATCTGCATTTTAATATTTACTGAATTTAATGTTTAAGAATTTTTATTAGATTGATTATTATTTTGTAATAAAATTATATTTTATAAAAGATAATTTCATATCGTGCATATTTAAAATAAATAAGTTTATAATATGCAAAGATAAAATCTATGCGAAATTATTAATTAAATTTTTGTTTCTTAAAAAAGGTGCATTAATTTTATTGTAAATAGATATGATAGTTTAAGGACTTTGTAAATATGATTATATTAATTAAAAACTTTTTTAAATAAACACTTATATAAAAAAATCATGGAAACGAATTATTCTAAATTAATATCTCAATTTTTTTTAATTTATTGCTTAATAAAGCTAATATTTATAGCATATAAAATGAACAAATATGATAGGGCCTGAGAAATTAACTAAAATTTTTATCTTCAAAAGATAAATAAAAAAGGCAGGCTAGCAACAAAGCAGAACAATCAGTACTTCGGCCTTGCACCTGTGCACTCGTATCGGTATGCAAGGAATGTTATTTAATTAAACTTTTAATCGAATTTCCATTACGTCATTCGTATAACGATAAGGGCCTAGGTCGTGTACTTCAGGTCGCCACGACCATAACTGTGTTTTATTGATCTTACAAAATGAAAAAAAGCAAAATACAAGGGAATAGTCAATTTTGTAGCTCTGGCCGTTCTTAAAGCATTTTATACAATAAAGTACAATAGTTTTAGAGTATACAGCTTATTGTTTTTTTTAACAAATATAATTATTCAATATTTCATTATAATTGTATTTAAATTCTATTAAATTCTACTAATCAAGTTTATTAATTTGTAGAGTCAGGTAATATAGAATAAATACATAAATAATATAAAAAAGGTTTTTAATAAATTAGGATATTTAGATATAATATACAAAAAACATATATTTAATTTTTTTATGTAAAAATATTCTTTGTAAAAAGTTTGGCAGTACATATTTTTATACTTTTTCTTTTCTTTGTATCAGTACTTTTATAAATTTTACAATTTACTATTATTTTTAAATATAATCAGTTTATACTTCTTTAAAGTATCACCTATTAGCGTAAAATTTATAAGTAAAATATATAAAATTTATTTATACGTTTTATTCTTTAATGTATTATTATTTTTATTACAAAAATATTTAATATTATTTTAATAATTTCAATTATTTCAAATAAAGTTTAGAAAAATATATCCATTTTTGTTTTTAATAAAAGATTAATAAAAATTCTGTTGAAATATAAGATATATATATACGTATAATCTACATATATGTATAAATATGTTTAAATACTATATATACATATATATATATATATATATATATATATATATGGGTGTGGTAAAAACTCACGTATGAATGACAAGGATATATAATATCTAATTTAAAAATAGTACCGTTTAAAATTGAATAATAATATGTTCATAAAAATTTATATACTTCTGACTACTAATAAAAAAATATTCTGACTTAATTTATCAAAAATTGTGCATTAAAAAATCTACTTCAATAATTGCTTATATCAAATATATAAATAAAAAAAATTAATTTTATTTATAGTTAATGAAATTAAAATGACAATTATTTACTTATAATTTCAATAATTGCTGATATTCTTGTTGAAAATGTAGTCGAATTATCTACTATTGCCTGTAATATATATATAATACATTTCATGGTCCAAATAAAATATAATAAATTCGTAAAATCGGTTAACACAATATGTAGACAATCATCCTCTACAAAAAATTTATCCTGAGTCCCGATTACTCGAGGCCGCCAGTTGACATACGACCGTCACCAAGAAATATATGTAGATCAAATTGCACCGAGTAAAAAAGAATGAACTTATAATATAGCCTATGTGTGTACGAGTGTTAACGTTTCCAGCTAATTCAAAATCTTAAGTTTTTTAACTTTGTAATATTATGGATTTTATAATAACCATTAGTTTTTAGTAAATTAAACAAAATAAAAATAATTAATTTGTTAATTTAATGAATTATTTTATAAAAAGAATCGAATATAAAATTTACAAAAGCTTTAGTAATTAATTATTATAAATAAAAGTATTTATAAAACTATTGCTTATATATCACAAATTATTTATTTATTCAAAAAAACATTAAATATTTATTTGAAATTATCTCTAATTTTTATTCAAGTTATTGTTTTTAAATTAGTAAATAATTAAGTAAATAAATATTACTTGGTGATAGTTGTTTATTATCCGAGAGTGTTTAATATTGATTATCATTGACGTAGAATTTAATACGATCTACTAATGAAATAAATTAAGTTACCTTTACGCTCAAGTATTATATTTTATATTTAAAGTATTTTACAATTTATTTATAATATTGTCATTGATTTATATTGATTAATAATTATTTCACATTATTTATTTAAATGTATATGTTTAATGTATATTATAAGTTTAGAAATAAAATAATGAACTTATAAAAATTATTAATGTTTTAGGTACTTGTACTTATAATTATTTATTCAACTTTAAATTAAATTAGTTCAAAGTGTAGAACATTGATTTTATTTTTAAAATATTTTTCGTCCTACAAATAAGTACACAAATTATTAAAATAGAAATGTGAAAGTGTATCTTATTTTTAAATTGACAGTGAAACTGTAAAAAAATTGAATGTTAGAAATATATACAATTAAGAAGTTAAGTATTTTTATAAAGTGGAAATCATTTATAAAATGGAAATGTATTTCTAAAAAGGTACTATTTCTTTCATGATAATTATGAGAATCATGATAATCATGATATTTCTCTTTTTTTATTGCAATACTCTCTACTACCATCGCTTATTGCTTTTTAGAATGTTATTTTCGTTAATTTTTATCAAAAATATTAATTATAATATAATATATAAAAATATGAACTACAACAAAATAATAATCATTTTTTTCATATATTACGTTGAAGCTTTGTTGAATCCCGGAAATGGTTGCAGGCGTAACCTTTAAGAGCCACCACAAATTCTTTAATTGACATTTTCATGCGTATTTCGGTTGTAATACAGCAACATAAGACAGATAGCATTACGGATACATATACTGATTTGAAAGTATAGACCCTCAGGGACATACATCAACCACAGAGACGCCCCGCGGGGCGCTTTAAGATTTCTGGGATCCAATGTAGTCCTTTTAACGCCCATCATATTCAACTCATTTTCAAGTGCCACACGTCTGTAAAATAGACAAAAATTACTACACGAGTAGTTCTAACTACATCATTTAAAATACAAGTTTGAAATGCCTACCAGTCAAATAGATAGTATGTGCATCTTCGAAGTGGGCGGTTTTTGTTTTCTTTTTCTTTTAATCGGGATATTTCACAATCAACTCAGATAACAATATATTTATGGTATATGTCTCTACAACGACTTTTCGAAACAAACTTAACTAAAAATCTGTCTATTATTTAACATTCATACAATATGCTGTAATTGACCAAATAACAAGACCTAATATAATTTATATATCCTATTTCTATACTAAATGCATTTTCCACAGTTTTATTTCCTTTATTATAAGTATGTTTACAGTAGATCATATAAATTTAATAAATATAGATAAGTGTTAATCATTTATACTTAATTTTGTAAATAAATTTAATTGGAAAACGTAAAAAATATAGGTTCTTGATTTTTGTTATTATATATATATATATATATATATATATATATATATATATTATTGTTTAGATAAGATTTAAAAAGGCCATCATTATTGTATTATTTATACAGAACATAATTATAAAAGTATTATTAATATTGTTGTTTTTATCATAATTTATTTAATAAACATTTATTTTAAATTTAACTATATTTAAAAAAAAAGAAAAATTAAAATTTTTATTAAATATAACACGACTATTGAAATTGACAATAAATTATCATTATAATCAATTATTAAATGATATATATTTTAATACCAATATTTATCATCATTTGTTATTCCCTTCCGAAAAAAAATATTATTGTTTTTTTTTTATAAAATATAAAATTGTACTAAACTTTATATTAAGTATCAGTAATTATTATAATTATGATATTTTACTATACAAAAAAATTACTATTTGATTTAAGAAATTAGTATAATTATGGTATATTGCTGTTGATAGTGAACAAAGTTTACGAAGTAAAATTATCTCTTAATTATAAACAATTCATTAAATATATTATACATGAACATAACTAAACAGATTTATGAGTCATTGGATAGAAGGAAGAAATCTTTTTAAGCTCCGTGGGAAACAATTTTATGAATTTCGTTTGTATCTTAAAAATAGCCGATATCTTCTTTGTAAGACTTTTTTTATTAATTTTCCAAGTAGTTTACGACTTGGATTAATTTCATACTTCGGTTAAATATAAATATTCTTTTTTTCGGCTTCATTTGACAGTTTTCAAGGAAAGATGTATAATTTTAAATTACATTGCTATTATAATTTTTTTGCCTAAATGTTCGATACATTATTTCCAAGATGACACTTCATTATTATTCTAAATATGGTAAATAATGAAAAAATTAACGATGAGGAAAATGAAATAAATAGATCCAACTATAAATCAATGAACATGTTATAATAAAATCAGATTATAAATTTAAGTTTTTAATTTGTTAAGCAAACAATGAAATTATACTTTAGTAATAAATAATCAATTTAATTAATTCAAATTATATAGTTCTGATTTTCTAAACATTTTTACAATCATTCAGTTAGTCAATTAAAAAATATAAATACTGTCTACTTTTTAATAATATCTAACTTATTTATATCATTACAGTTTGTAGGCTGACAATAATTAATAAATTAATATAAATAATACGCTTTAAATAGCTTCATTTAATTAAATATTTTTAGTTTTTAAATCACGATCTATTATAAGTTTCAAATAGTAAATTGATATCAAAGTTTTGGGCGTCAATATAGATTATACATACAATAGACTAGACCGCACCAAATTGCTTCATGCCAATTTATGTTTTCAATTCCCTTGTATTATCATACCAATATAATAATGCTGCACTATATCTTTTGATGCATCATCATTGCTTTCTTCTATATAATATCTGCTATGTAGGGACTATATCTACGACATGATTTCATTTTAATTTTATTAGTAATTTTTAGTTTTCTTAGAAATATTATTTAAATGTTACGGTTTAAATAAAAACTTTTTTAAAAAATTTAAATTATCTGTAAATAATTGTAAGTAGTATCATACTAAACAGATTGTAAAATAAATATTATAAATTCAGTATTTTAATATATGAACAAAATTTTTAGTTGATGAAGTTATATGTATATAGTATTTATTATTGTAATATAAATTTCATAAAGAAATTTTTGCAGTAATATAAATAAAATGATTGATTTTGTAAAACTTATAAATATCAGTATTTATCGATATTTTAAGCTTTTAACATTACTCTTATAACTCAATATTAAACATTTTTGATTCTTATAAACACTTTTTTAAAGTTATTTAAAATATTCATTCTGAAATTTAACTCAATATAATAAAACAATATATATATATAATATTTTAGATAATTTTTAAATTTATTATATTAACATTGTATTTATTTTATATATAATATTTTTAAATCTTTTTACATACAAAATTTTTACAAGAATTTTTAATGTTTATTATAAATAGAGTGTTTTTAAGTAATTATAAAAAGTAAAAACTTTAAACAATCAAAGTAAAATGTAACCAACCTTAAATTTATTTATAAAATTGATGTTAATATACTAGTTAATATTATGGTTTAAATATATAATACAATAAGATATCCATCTTTTTGTATTTACAACTGATGTTTCCATATAATGGATAATACTTATCTATTATGAATATATTGACAAATTTTAATAAAAATCTGCTTTACAACTTGAAAATAAAATTATATTGAATATCCTAACTATATTTTGAATGAATAAATTTTAATAATTTTAAATAAAAAGAATTTAAATGATAACGAATAGAAATAATAAATAGCATTTGATTTTAATATCAATATTTCAGATTATGTAGATAAATTAAAAGCTTCAAAAAATGACCGAATATAAATTTTATTTTATTTTATAACCAAATGAAAAAACTATATCTCAGTGAAATTAAATCATGTTCTTAAAACTAACAAGATTTTACCGCATAAAGGCATGATAATATTTTATACATATAATATTCCATATAGTTAATATAGATAATATATATATATATATTCTGTAGTTACAAGCCGACTATTCGCCTTAAGGTATGACAGATGGTATGTGAAAACAACAATAACAACATTCTAAAATCTTATTTTTGAAAAATATCATTCGGTCGTGGAAAGTATATTTTCAGTTTCTCTCATAGTATCTATGTATTATTATAGAAGAGACTAATCTTTTCCATGAAATTTTTCAGTTATGGTTTTCCAATTTTTCCAAGTTACTTTGTAAGCTAATCGTGTAAAAGGCAAACATTTTCTATGAATAACATAGGTCATTTTTGAGGTAAAAACAAAGCAAATAAATCCCTTGGATGAAATTTTTGTATATAAACTTATTTTGATAAAATATTATGTACATATTGAATATTTTACCACTATTTTTACACCTTTTATTTTTATATTCACTTGAAAGTGGAATAATAATAAAATAAAAGAGTTAAAGTTAACTAGAAATTAATATATAAATATAATAAATTAATTAATAAATTGTTAGTATCATGAGCTTATATCAAAATTTATATCCACTACAGTGATCGATATTATTACATAAAAATGTAATAATTAAAATAGTATTTTATATTATAACAATTATAAAAGGAAATTAAAGAATCGAAAAGGAATAAAATAGAATGTCGTCTATTGATGTTTTGAAAATATTAAGATCGTATATGAAAAAAATTTAAGAAATATATTTAAAGGCTAAGGATAGCAAAACTAGAGTGTGTACTTTTATGAAGTTTCTTTTAGTATAGAAACTAATAAATATATCTGCATAAATACAGCAAGCATACATGAATTTTAATGCTTCGATGATACATACATAATAATTTGATGATGTAGAAATCGTGATACTACAAATAATTTAAGAATCTTAAAATATATTATAAAATTTATGATAGATTTGTTAGAATATTATTAATAATTTATATTGATAATTATCAAAAAAGTTATAAAGTATTATTCAACTATTTAAAAGTTATTTCTATTATTATATGATATGTAAGATTGTTGTACCCTAATATATTTATAATTGCAATATTTTATGATATTATAGTTGCGAATTTTGTATTTAAATTTATTTTGAATTTTATATTATAATATTCTAACATTTCTCAAAAATTAAAATATTGAGTACAATCACCTTATTTTAAATATATATTATTTCAAAGATTACAAATAAAGTTTTTGGAAATTTAAAAATAATTTAATATACTTTCTCAGTGATAATGATTAATTTTTATTATTATATTAATTGTTTAAAAAAATAAAAATAATACACATAAGAATTAAGAAAATTTGTAAAACATATTGAAGGATATTAATGGGTATATAATTTCCATAAATTATCAAATTTATAACAAAAAATTTCACATGCTATTACTCATTTTTTTCGGATAAATCAAATAAATAAATACATCTTAATACATTTTTAAAATATTAATAAAATATATTTTATTTTATACCATTGTATTTCATAACAATGAGACCTAAAATAAATATTGTTTTCAACAGAAGTACTAAAATTAGTTATTCAATACAGTGATTTTCGTTCACTTATCTCGCGACCTCTTGTCGCTCGTCGCTCTTAAAATACTCGAGACATCGTTACAGTAAAATCTCATACTGCGTTACTTCTTCGGAAACGAATGAAAATATTTCGAGCTTATGCGATGCTGCGCTGTATGGTAAGAACTGATAAGAACTACCTCTAACATGATCCATAGGATAAATGACAATTTTAATCTAATAACAATTGTTTTTTTTTATTTTAATTTTCAATCTCAATTATGTTATTGTGTCATTAGTTTTACATTCATTTTATATTAATATAACTCTTATAAAGTTTTATTATTTTTTTTTTATTATCACCAACGCACGATTTTTGTTATCACATTTTTTTACTGCTTTTTCTTTTAGTTTGCACATAATTACAATATAAAAATATTTTGTAAAATGTTCCATTATTATTCATTATTTTAAGTAATAAAAGAATAAAAATTTATATGAACTCAAATGAATTTATTACATTACATAATATAGCATGAAAATAAATAAAATATATTAACATATATTAATGTTTTAAATTTATTATAATATATTGAAATGGATAATATAAATTTGATATGATATTCAAAATTTATAATAGCTTCAAATTAATTTTGATGATACTATTATATTTCAATTAGAATCAAATTAAAATGAAAATTTAATCGAATGAAGACTAAATTTCGAAATATTC